TTCTATTTGGAATTCTAGTTTTCAAATAGGGTTTGTCTTCTTCTTGCTTTTTATAAAAGCTTCTTTTAACTTTTTTTCGCTTATTAGTAACTAAAGTAAATTCTAGTTCTTTTTCCTTAAGGTCAAGAGGAGAGATAGTTTGATGTATAGTCAATTGACTTTTAGCTTGTTGTTGCTGATTAGAAGTAACTAAGTTCTCTTTATCCATATCTGATGAAACTTTTTGTTGATTTGGAAGTTTGTTGTTATCCATTTCTGAATCAGATTGGTTGCTAGCCCAAGCAAGAGATTCTTCATTGAATTGTGAAATAGTAATTGCAATAAGTTCACATTCTTGAGTAGCTGAATTCTCTTTGCAGAGAGTTGCTTCATTTGGTAGTTTGTTTTGCATGTTAGAAGATTTCAGAACATTGTATAGAGGTTCTAATACTCTTTTGATTTTATTTTCTTGGTATTTCTTGTATTGTTGTCTAAGTTTGACTGCCTCTTTAAATTGCTCACAGTTTTTTTTTAGATGCCCTTTCTTGTCACAAAAGAAGCAGACCTTAGGAGCTGATTTCCATTCAGTTGTGACTTTGTTGTCCTATAAAAAGGTATAGCATAGGATTCTTGTTTCAAGTTCTAGATTATCAGTTGTCTCAAAGATTATAACCCATTGGTCAGTTGCATAAGGAGTTTCTTCAATAAGAAGTAGTTTAATAGCTGTAATTTTTCTGAAGTTTTCAAAGGTTTCTAAAATTGCTTTAGAAACTTATTCTTTGTTTTTAAGTAGTACATTTCTGATCTTGACAGACAGAAATGATTTTCTATTATCTGTAAGAATGAAACCATAATAGATTTGATTAAAAATTACTATGCCTTTGCTGGCATAGTGTTTGAGCCATTCATTATTAGCAAAAGCTAGTTCTAAATGAGTTCTGTCATCTTTGGAAAAATGTTGTTTTGCAGCGATTATATCTTGTCCTACATGTTCATATAAAGAAATTATAATTTTATTAAAGAAGTAGTTTAAGCTTCTGATATCAAACACCAATATATTATTATTTTTTGACTTAATAGAATTTCTAAGAAATGAGGCAGAGTATGTAGACTGCCCCCTTTTTAATTTTGTAAAAAGGCTGAACCATTGCTTTTTGCCCCCTTGGAGTGTGTCTGTGTTAGCATGTGTTTTGATATATAGATTGGCACATGCTTTACTGTGTACATCAGGTTGTGCTTCAGTACATGTTTTTGCATCAGCCACGTAACTTTCTTGTTTATCATTATATAATGCTTCTTGTATATATGTCTTTGTTGTTGTCAGTTTATTACTCATAGCATTTTCTTTTCCAGTAGTTTTAGCTTTTGGGCTTTCATTGTTGTTTTTCTTTGCAGTGTTGCTTTCTTGTCCTGTTGCCAAGATAGCACTTCTATTTAGTTCTTGCTCTACTTGTTCATCCCAGTTTGCACTATTGTTCAAAAGAAAACTTGTTTTGTATTTCATGTTTTGCTTATTTAGAAGGAAGTTTGTTTCAAATAAAACTCTTTTGTGTTTTCAAAGGTTAAGTAGTATAAGTCTACATTTTTTAGAAACAAGTGCCTTTGCCCTAGTTCTAATAAAAAATAAAGAGTCTTTGTTTTCTTTATTAATTGTTATTTTGTTGATGATAAAAATCCTGTTCAAATCAATGATGAACAGGAAAGAGTTTTTTTTACTAATAAAATTTGTTTATTAAGTTGTTTTGAAATTATAAATAAACTTAATCAGAATTAAAAATTATATAATAAATAGTTTTACTAAACTAAAACAATGCATTTCTAATTCAAACTACTAAAAAAATCTTAATCAAAAAAAAAGACCTAAGTGGTTTAAAATAATAATAATAAAACTAGTTAAAAATTATATAATAAGAATATAAATAAAATTTACTATTCAAACTTTAAATAAAAATATTTTAGAACATAACTAAAGAAATTAATAAAAGATAAAAAAAAAGTCTAGATTTTACTAAAATTATTAAAGAAAAAATAAAGATCTAGTAATTAAAAAAAATTCTAACAAACATGTTACAAAAAATTTTTACAAAATATTAAATAACAAGACAATAAAATAATATATAAAAAATAATATTAAAGAGATCAAAAAATATAAAATAAATTAAAATAAGAAATAAAAAGATATAAAAAATAAAGTAATAAGACAGATGTAATAAAATACTAAATAATTTGTAAAAAAAGAAGAAAATTAAATATTAGAAATAAATTAAAAAATAATTAAGATAATAAAAAATTATACAAATATTAGATTAATTATAAAAGAAAGTTAAATAAAAAAAATAAAATACTACAGTCTAGAAAAGAAAATAATTAGAAAGCAAAATATATAATATATATCAAAAAAGAATTTATTAATAAATTATAAAAAAACAAAACAGAAACTTATAATAATTTAATTTTTTAAATTTTTTTTTAATATTAAGATGACTTTTTTGATTTTTATTAATTTTTATTAACACTTTTAAGTAATGATATTTATATAAATCTATCACAAAAAAAGTACAACTGATTACATATATAAATTTTCTATATTACCTATTTAAAAAGTCTGCTTAAAGGTTTCTTACCAATTGGCATATCTAACACTTCTATTTGGATTTTTTATTTTAAACCTTCTGATCCTACATCTCTAACATTAACTTTACTAAGTTACAGAAATATTCTTTTATGCCTAAATTCTTGTCTTAACCTTAGAACTAATTTATTCTTAAAAAAAACCTTTTAGAATCTTCTGTATTCCATCTTATAGCTGACCTAATAATGCTATAACCAAAACCAACACTTACAATTAGAACTAATCATTAAATTGCTATACTCTTGTAAAGTTCACTCCAATACTTATTTTTTTGACATCTTTCTCACTTACTGATTTGTTTGCATCACAAAAAAAAATACTAGAATAATTGTTTGAAGCATTAACCTGTACCTTCTGTTCACATTGTAGTTTTCATTTTCTTAAAAACTAATTTTAAGGAACAAAGTTCCTCGCTACAATCCGAATAATAGTAAAAATACCGTAGATATTGACTTTGTTATAAACTAAAAGTCAGACTACAAACCAAAAATGGTACAAATGGGCTGGTTTCATTTATACATGAGTGGTTAAATTATTTTTGAAAACAAGTAATTTTGCCAAAATTTTCATTCTTGCCATATTTTTATATGAACCCTCACAAATAATTGCACTATTTAATGTATTTTGATATAAGGGACACCCATGTATAGTTCCATTGCATGGGTCAAAAACGGCTAGGACGGAACAGGCTGATTAATCGTTCTGGATCATTATAGTGCAGCATTAGAACGGTCTTTTATAACCAAGTCTGCTACGTATAAGACGAGACACAATATTTGTTTGCATGAAATAAATATATACAAACGAATGGAAAATAACCTTGCGTACTTATGCATATCAATGCATCCTATTCAAATTTCCTAATATAGAAACTTGGAAGGCCGACTATTAAAATTTAGACAACTTAACTAACGTTAAACAAGGGGCATATTTAATAAGTTCAGTAGCTATCTTATCACAAGTTTTGTTAAGAGTCTAGACTTTGGTAGTTTTTAATGAATTGACATCACTAAGTTTTTAATAGTTGGCGGACTTCATTGTAAATAGTTGTAAATAATAATTGTATTGTTTGTGTTTTAATATATAAATTGTAACAAAGAAATCGCCTATACTTGTACAGGTTAAATTAAATTTATACATTTGGCAACGGAGAATTGAAAAATTACCTTTTTTGCTCTTTGATTTATCGTTGTATATAAAAGGAGCTAATTTTGGGCCGTAAGTAAATTTTCTTTTTGTTTTTCTTTCCCTCCTAAAATGAGCGATGTTGGCATAGAAGGAAAAAGTATTCGAACACATAGTAGAGCTACTCTACCTTGTCCGGATTGTGATCGTCCGAGGATATCATATGGATGGTGTACGAAATGTGAATCAAGATGCATGGAAAAAAAATTTCCTTTCTGGACAAGTGGAAATAGTGGATTAGATAAATTAATTCAACATAGTCAGATTTCAGCAGTACAAACTTGTGATTATTTGGAATTTATAAACTTTGAAGACATAGAAATTAATAAATTAATTGGTAGAGGAGGCTTTAGTGAAGTATATAAAGGTGTTTGGATAGATGGACCGAGATGGAATTGGGATGAACTTGGGGACATTTGGTGTCGTAGCGGGCCAATAGAAGTTGCTCTAAAAGAACTCAATAATTCTCAAATATTATCATATGAATTTCTTGAACAGGTATTTTATGAATAAATTAGAATTTTAGTCCAAATTGGTCCTAATTAAATTGTGAATTTTTGCGAAGATTTTTTTTTAGGAGTCATTAATAAAAATTGTATAAAATAAAATTCTTAACATATTTGCTTAGTAAATAAGAATGTTAAAGCTTCAAAATTCAGCCATATTTAAATATAAAATTTTAGGACTGGTCTTAAGTCTAGGTCTTAAATTTTATATTTAGAAGATTTCCGAATTTTGAAGCTTACCATTTTTTATTTACTAAATAAATATGTTAATAATTTATTTTGTACAACTTTTATTATTAATAGCTCAAAAAAAAAAAAAATCATCGTAAAATTAACAATATAATTAGGGCTAGTTGAGACCAGTTTGGACCAAAAACATCCTTAGAATTTGATCTATATTTTATTTAAATAAATATGTATTTTTTATTTATTTTATTTACAATTGATCTTTCAGCTCAAAAAATATTATCAATGCTTGCAAAATGGGACAATGGCAGACTGTTTTGGAATTACAAGAAATATTGAAACTGGATGCTATATGTTCGTTATGCGATACTACGAAAATGGTAACCTTTACGAATTTCTTGATAGAAATAAAGGAATCATCAGTTGGAGAGATATGGTAGATATGTTATGGGGAGTTGCGAGTGGACTGGAAAAAATCCACTCAGAAAACCTATTTCATTCGAATCTTCATGGAGGAAATCTTTTGATCGAAGATGAAACTATTTCAACGGATGCAAAAATTGCCGACATTGGACTTCATGGAAAAGCGGATAAGCCAATTCACCCTGGACATGTTATTGGTGTTTTACCTTTCATTGACCCACAAGTATTACTTGGAAATCAACAACCAAATAAAGCATCTGATATTTATAGTTTTGGAATAATAATGTGGGTTTTGGCAACTGGGCTTAAACCTCATCACAATAGAGCCCATAATTTACAACTTGCCTATGAAATTTGTTACAAGAACTTACGTCCAGAGATAAGTGAAGACCTTAGATCCGAAATGCCAGCAGAGTATTATGACTTGATGACACAATGCTGGGATTCATTACCAGAAAATCGACCGACAGCAAGTAAATTAAACGAGAAATTAGGTAATTGGATTTCTGATATTTGTGATAACCCGAATCCCTCAGAAATTTCAAATAGTTTCGGCGATGCAGAAGAGAAAAGATGGGAGCTCATCGGTAAACAAAACGAAGAAAAAGATTTTCCATCTAACTTTGTTCACGAGGAGGCTATTTACATTAGTCGTATCTTTGATTTTGCTGAATTAAAACAATTGAATAATCAACAGATTTAAAATTCAAACCGCAGATATGCAGTTTAACTATTATTATATGATTATGCTGGAAGATTGGCGTTAATCGGCCTCCAAAAAATTACCGATGATATTTATCTGATTAAAGCGTTTATTTACCTTTTTTTTTTAACTAGTGTACTTAGAGACAAATACCAACTCTGGGATTTTTTTTAAAAAAAAAACAAAATTAAATTTGGCATTAGGATCGTGGTTATATGACATAAAATCCAATGTTACCGAGAAAATTGGCATATTTCATGATACTTTTCCTTTATAAGCTATTAGTCAAACTTCACTTCTTAGTAAGTTATTTATAGGAGATGAGCTGATAGTTGCTTCTGTAGATTTTGTAATTTGAAAGTTATTATGAGGGGACCGATTAATATCTTTTATTCCATATTTATATCAATATTTCATTTATTCAAGTATCTAGATTAAGAGAATAGATATTATGTGATATCCTTATGTTCGGTAGATATATTAAATTATTCGTACCGATCGAAAAAAAATTTTATGTAAGATCTGTTACAGTCCTTAAATGTTATGTGTTAGATCCGATAGGTCCGCCATGATCGGCTGCTTAATAGCGAATTACGTATAAGGCCCTAAGACCGATTGTTGATATAATCTTTTTTTCTTGGATACCAGATGCAAATGGTGATTGGTTTTGTCTTTTATAACCATATAAAATACCTCCCTTGATAGTAAACCCCATTTGTTATACCGGTTCTAAACCAGGGTTAAGAATTAGCGGAATGTAAGAGATCCGGGGTTTCTTGATTGGTAATTTATATTTAACAAGAAAAATCTATCTATTACTATATCCCCCTCCCCCCAGGCAGGGTTGGCAATGGAGCCAATAGAGCCAATGGAGCTCAAAAAACTAGTATCCATTGGCTCTATTCAGCTCCATTCAGCTCCATTCGCTGCTCCATTGGGGCTCCATTGAGTTCCATTGGGCTTCATTGGGCTCCATTGGGCTTCATTGGGCTCCATTGAACTCCATTGGGCTCTATTGAGCTCCATTTCCAACCTTGCCCCGGGTATAATTCAATTTTTTAACCGGTGGAATGTAACATACACGGAGCCATTTACGGTAATTGGATTAAATTGGATTGTTCAACTCTATTCATTTTCGTATAATCGCGAAATAAAGCTCTAAGCGTTATTTCGGAAATTGCATCCTTCATAACGATAATGGGAAATTTCGGAGATTCTATATAGTCTATCAATCATATATTCAATTACTGTTTTGAGATCTGTAAAATTCTCTTAGAATCGCCCAATTTCTCGTGATCTTACATGATATCAGGATCTGCAGGGATCACACTTTTTTGCAAGAGTATACCTACCAGTTCATGCGAACACCTACCATTTCGGAGAAATTCCGAAGGGTTTAGAGGAAATTATATATAAAATAAATCGCATCCTCTATCAAAAATCGCATCTTTTATTTAAAAACTTCGTATAATTTACCCAATCGCATCGCATAATCTTGGACACCCAAGTCCGCCGCAACAAAATTGTCACGGCAGATTCTCGATTTTGATTGGCTAAGAACAACGATCAAAAAATTTGGTCAAAATTTTACTAATTAAATCATAGCTGCCTATTAAGTGTAAATTGTTCCTGGGCTAATTTTTAAAATTTTCTATTTAGGGGTCATCTAAAGCGGAGATAAATCACGTGACTAGGTGCCAATCAAATTTAGAGTTCCTATCCGTTTATCCATTTATCTATTGGAGATCTGAATTTATTCGGATATCCGTTTTACTATTGATCGTGATTATCCGAATATTTGACGGATTATCCGGATATCTATAATTCCAGTGGAGAACGTCTCAAATATGGGGGACGTCTAAAGCGGAAATAACTTATATAATTAATATTTTTGAATTAACTTTAGGGTTAGTGTCGTCTTAGATTAGGATATATATATGCAAAATTGCCTTTCCGGCATTTTTACTGAGGTAGGTTTAGACTGTGTTTTTTGTATTTTTTAGGTTTTTCGTTTTTCTTGTATTGTTTCGCCGGCGATCATCAAAATTCTATAATTTTATTGGCCCGCGGTTACGCGATTTATCTCCGCTTTAGACGACCTCCAAATATGAAAAATGGCTAAAGTGGGGCAGAATCACGTGCGAATTTTTATTGATCGGATGAAATGAAAATTATGATTGGTCAGATATTGTTAATTTGTTAACCAAATAGTAGGTTTTTTAATTTTGTTATTTTGATCAAAACCTTAACATTAGAACAATTTCTAACTAGTTGTATTACTATTTGGTTTCATTTTTAGTCTTGTTTTATTTGAATTTTATTTTAGTTTTAAATTTTAACTTTTTTTTTGATATTAAGGTGATCTCTTTGGTTTTTTGACTTTTATTAATGATTTTTTTGGTAATATAATTCTATAAACCACTACAGGAGAGCATATATATATTTTTTTTATATATAATATCATAGTAGAAACTTTAAAATACAATAAGAAATTTAATTATAGAAAAAATTCCTAAAATAAAGATTTCTAAATTACATTTGTGTTATTAAAAAAATAGACATCCAATGTAACATTACATTTCCTATTTTCTAATAAGTATTATAAATAATTGTTTCAAATTATTTTCTAGTTAGGATAGGTTGGAGGAAATCTTAGATGAAAGTCAAAATATTATATAAAGCATGTGGTTAAAGTAAAACTTTATAAGAGTCATTTGTTAATTACTAGTATAATATTAAGAGTTTGTGTAGTTCTTGGAAGGTCATTAGTAGAGATAGATATTGTTAGAAAGTAAATTTTTATATGTTTAGTTTTAGTAGTTATATTTTGAGCAAATTTCCATTAATGTTGAAATATGTTGCATATAAATCATAGATCTTGATAATACCAGATGAGAAGATTATTAGCTAGTTTAATCAAAAAGATATTTGTTTGTTTGTTTAAAAGAATTTTGATATTATTGTAGATAGTTATAGAGAAAATATCAAATATGGCATATAAGATAGATTGGTAATTAGAATTAGTGTAATTGGCTATGAAGTTTAAGATAATATTAAAAAATAAAGAATGTTAAATTGTTAGATATTTGAAGTAAGGTAAGTGTTAATTGGATTGTATTAAGAATTGCTTGGTTTATATTAATATTATTGTCTGCACAGAGGAAAAGATAAAGTGTGTCTTCGAGATTTATATATTGGAAACATGTTATTGTTATATAAAGATAAGGATAGCATATATTAAGATTTTCTATAGTAGTCAGATTATTTGTAAGAATTTTAATATAAAAGGAGTAGTTTTGAGTGTCATATTCCATAGATTTGATTATTTGAAAGTTGAGAGTCCAGTTAGGTTCTAAGCTATTTTGGAAGTGTTTAAGTGTAGATTAAGAAAAAAGTTCTTGAATTATAATTATATTTTTGATCAAGTTATAAATTTTGAGTAGTATAAGATAATTATTCTATAGAAAATAAGTTGGAGTATTTGGCAGTAGTAGTTTCAGAATGGGTTTAGAAGTTCCTCATTTGGCTAAGGAGTCTGCTTAGTTATAAAATAAATTTATATGTAATTTAATATTTAAAAATTGTACATTAAGGTTTTTAAGAGTTTTGAGATAATTGATAAAAGAAATAATATCCTAATTTTTAATATATAATAGTTTTAAGAGAGAAATATGTTGCAAGTTTTTAATTGTTGTTTGGTTGTTGAGATGAATTGTAATAGTAATATTTGATGATATAACTAAAAGAAATGATAGAACTGTTTTAAGTTCAATATAATTAGTATCAACATATAATTTTGTACTTGCATTAAAGTTTATATTAGTATTTGTTTTGCAAATCCAACCTATACTTGATTTAATATTTGGTATTTGACAGTCTTTAATAGAACTATCAGTATAGAAGATTAAATTATCTAAGTTAGAGTTTCTGATTGAAGAATAAAGTTTAATTAATTGATTTTTATATGAAGTTAATTTAACAGTTTGTTGAATGAGTTATATTTCAGAAGAAGTTAAGTTTATTGAGGGATAAGAAAGAAGTAAGGGTTAGAAAGAAGTGTAATTGTTAATATAGATAAATGAGAGAATTTTATTAAAGTCAATTTGTAGTAAGTTTTTAGTAAATTTAAGTTAAATATAAGGAATACTAATAGATTAAAAATTTGAGATTATTGGAAACAAAATAGAAATAATCATAATAAATCTAAATAAATAATAATAGAGTTGGTAAAAAATGGTTTGTCAGAAATAAATTTGTTGTGAAAGAAAGATTTGTTAATTGATATTATAAAAGATTTTGTAAGAAAAGAGATGGGTTAAGAAAAAAAAATGTCTATTGAGTTAATGAAGAAGTTTTTAAGAGGAAGATTTAAATAAGACAAAGTTATAGTAATATTGTAATTTTAATTAGAAAAGAAGATTTGTATGAACCATGTTGGTTGATGATCTTGTGTAGATTTGTTTGTTCGTAAATATATATTATTCTATATAAAAAAGCATAGATTGTCTGCTGTTGTAATTTGTTTAAGAAATAGAATTCTGTTGTATCTTAGACTTTGAATAGTTAAGTTAGGTAATTTTGAAAGAAATACATTATATATTGTTTTGTAGTTTGTAAAGATTTCTGATAATGGTAAAAAGTTAGACAATAAAATATTGTGTTTTGAAAATTGGCAAATATGAAAAATTAGTGTGAAGTTTTGTGTTTTGTAATAGTAAGTATTAAGTATATCTATTGTAAACTTCAGCTGCAAAATTTTGAGAAGCTAGGCCTTAGTTCACAAAGTGCCAATAGTATTAAATAAAGGTATAAAATTAAAAATTCATTTAATATTAGAGACACTTAATTTTTGTAAAATATTGTTAAGAGTTGGTAGGTTAAAAAATAGTAGATTAGTAAGAGTGATATTATTAGTATTTCTTGCTAGTACTAGCATTTTTTTGAATTAGATAATAAATATTTAAGAGAGTTTAGTTTAAGTAGTTTGGTGAATTGGAGTT